TACTACTCATTAGACATCTGGCTTTGATAACGAAGGACAGAAAGGCCTGCCTGAAGCTGGCAGCAGATTTTCCCAGTACTCTCTTCTAGCCCTGTGGTTTAAAATGTATGTGATTAATTAATTAAAAGAGTCATACCTATTTTATAAGTCCAATAGGTCACACATGTGCATACACACACACACACACACGCTCAAAATTTGGTGAACATCCAGGATAAAGTGAACTTTTGTTTCAACATACAGACATAAAAACATATCCATATCTGTTAATGCCAGGGGATTTTCTGACGCTTTTATCCTCAATAACAATCCTTAGGTTTCATACCACCTTTCAGAAATAGACAATGAGCCGGGCAGGGTGGCTCACGCCTATAATCCTAGCACTCTGGGAGGCCAAGGTGAGTGGATTGCTTGAGGTCAGTACTTTGAAACCAGCCTGAGCAAGACCCCGTCTCTGCTATAAATAGAAAGAAATTAATTGACCAACTAATATACATAGAAAAAATTAGCCAGGCATGTTGGCGCACATGATGGTTATTAACCTTGATGATGTAAAAGTAATGGCTTAACTTAAAGAAGCCAAGAGGTAGATGAGAGAGGAAAGGTGGAGAGAAGCAGAAGGGAATCAATTCTTATTTTACAGACAGTGGAGTCAAGAGATCCTGCCTTATATTGATGAATTAAGAAGCAGGTGGTTAAATATATAATTTCAACTTAAAAGATAACCAATAGAAGAGATAAGAATATAGTGAATCAAAACTGGGAAAAAGAGAATGGGGGTGGAGAGGAAAGTAGAAGATTATGTGACTTAAATTTCTTAGCTTTCATAAAAGTTATCAATAATTACTGCCTAAAACTGATAAAACAAGAAATAGTCACGAGACTTCAAAACACAAATAACAAATTGGTTTCCTCTGTGCTATGGTCTGAATGTGTCTCTCCAGAGTTTACATGTTGGGACCTTTGGGAGGTGATTAATTGAGGAGGGTGGGGCCCACACGAGTGAGATTAGTGCCTTTATAAAAGAGGCCCCAGGAGGCTGCCTTGCCCCTTCTACCACGTGAGGACACCGCAGGACAGCACTGTCTATGAAATGAAGGCCTTCACCAAACGCCAAATCTGCTGGTGCTTTGGATCTTCAATTTCCCAGCCTCCAGAACTGTAAGAAATAAATTTCTGTTGCTTATAAGCCACCCAGGTTATGATATTTTGTTTCAGCAGCCCAGATGGACTAAAGATACCTCTAGGAATGAGACTGGTGTCAGGAGGGGGCAACTTTTGTTTTTCATTTTATAAATTTCTAAACTTTTTCAATTTTTATTAGTTACCATATGCATGCATAGAGTTTACAACAATAAAACGAGATTAAAGAAAAATAATGAGAATATAAATTTAAAAATTCCTACCTTGCTCTAATCCAGGGTTTGGTGTGCATATTGAGACCACTTCCCCAACTACCATGTTTTTCAGATGCCAAAGGCAAAAATCCCCTTTCAGGGGCCAGCTCCTCCGCGATTGCCCTGATGTGGTAGGGCTCGAATCCACAGCACCCGCCGATGTACCTGACCCCCAGGTTGTAAGCCTCTCTGGCGTATTTTTGTATGTCCCATCTGGTGGCGGCTCTGGGCTCCAGTCCTGTAATGAAATAATTATGGCGTTTCCATCACTGTTCCCATTTTCAAATGAGAGATACCCTGATGGATGTTTGTTTTCCCAGTTAAAACACTGTAAACTTTAGATTATGCATTCTTCGGACAGCTCATTTTTGGCTAACAGTGTTTTTATCTTATGCAATCTTGTATTACAAAACTTTACAATAGTTTATTGTAGCTGTTTGAATTTTGTCATGATGACAAACACAAGGACCTCAAATATGCACCTGAGCTTACCAAAGGGATATTCTGGGAGATCCACAAACCCGCCTTTGCCACAGTCCGGCGTGTGGAACCCCAGGGACTGCACCATAAGGTGGGTCTTCAGCCCCGTGGCCCCAAGGCCCTCCTTCATGAGCTCCACCGTCTTCAAGCTGGTCCCGGGCCCGAATCGGCAGTTCACACCAACAATGGAAGCCCCTACACAAAGAAATAAAGGACTTTTACATTTTATTACCCATTTATTTGTTTGTTTATCCTATGTTTTAATAGTTTTTAATAGGTGCCTTAGAAATTAGTTATCTCCCTCCACCTCCCAAGATTTACAGATAAGGAAACCGATTCCAGTTCATTCTTTTATTTCCAAACTACTCTCACAATACCAGGCAGACTTTGTTAAATTTCATAAACAACAACTGAACTTTCCCACAGCATGGGTCCAGATTACCTGCCTTCACCAGCCTCACGGCGCATTCCCCAGGCGGTACACCGTGCATGTCTCCAGCGGGGCCTATGCACATGGTCGCTGCCACCGGTTTACCCGATTCTTTTAAGACTTCCACAGCCCACACAGCTTCTTCGACATACTCAAAATACTAAGAGAAATGTCACTTTTTCTAGTGGTCCAAATATAAGGCAGAGTTTGAATAGTAGAAAGCAAATTGTTGCAAAACAGTTGTAAGAATTACCAAATATATAATTGTGATAAAACTTGCTAAGAAATGTGTCTCTATCACATTGACTAAAGAACACTTTTCTGAGTAAATATTTAATTCCTTTAACAATAGTATATAGTTTTTCATTCAGGGGTCATTGATTCAGTGAGATGATGACTGTATTTTTAAAAGGGTTAAAAGTAATTGAGTATTTAAAATCATAATTTTGAAGGAACAGAGGTTTTACTAACAAATTTTGGACTGATCTTTTATGGAACTAGAGTAATCTCTGAAAAATAATATAGTTTGGGCCAGGTGGTGGCTCACGCCTATAATCCTAGCGTTCTGGGAGGCTGAGGCGGAGGATCACTCAAGGTCAGGAGTTCAAAACCAGCCTGAGCAAGAGTGAGACCCGTCTCTACTGAAAATAGAAAGAAATTAATTGGCCAACTAAAAATATATAGAAAAAATTAGCTGGCCATGGTAGCTCATGTCTGTAGTCCCAGCTACTCAGGAGGCTGAGGCAGGAGGATCGCTTGAGCCCAGGAGTTTGAGGTTGCTGTGAGCTAGGCTGACGCCACGGCACTCTAGCATGGGCAACAGAGTGAGACTCTGTCTCAGAAAATAATAATAATAATAATATAGTTTGCCATGCTTTATACTTCAAAGTGCTTTTAATTCACTTCTACTTAGATAATCACAAGTGCTTCACTAAGTAGGAGGGGAAATATGATGATTCTCCCAGATGAGAAAATTGAGGCACAGAGTGGGAAAGACAACAACTAAGTTTCTTTGCCAGTGGTGGGTGGACAGGATGCCTTGGCTGGTAAACTCCACGTACAAGGTGCTTCCCAGGAACCCCCTTTAAGTGACACAATTGAAAAGCTGACCTTACAGGCAACTGGGAAAAACCCAGCAGAAATCTCCTTTTTCCCTCTTGAGTTAGAACTGCTTTTGCAATTCTGCAAAAACAGGGTGTGAAAAGTGACAGACAGAATGAAAAGACAGGTTCTTAAACCAAGCTGTGTTCCCATCCATCTGGAAAACACAGAGGGCAGAGTCCATGCCAGTCTCTGCAGGTGACTGTTCCCAGGTGGGCTGGCCAGCCTTAGGCAAAACAGAGCCTTAGGGAGGCTGATGAGGTAAGGTTTGCATTAGAGATCAGTAGTGTGATTGGGGCAAATAACTATTTGGGGGCTACTTTCTTGTTCAAGGGGAAGACTTAGGTTTAGGACTTGACCCCAGGAAGTGGCAGTTGTGTTGGGAAATGGGGAATGAGGGCTTTCTTTCTGGAGGTGGAGGGAAGAGAATGTTCTGGGCCTTCATGTCAATCAGTGACAATCAATTCTTACTGATTCTGTCTTCAAAATGTCACTCATGTTACAGTTTGAGCAAAAGCAGAGAGGCAGGAGTGAGCACGGCATGGATGGAGAAGGATAAGGCGGGCAAGTTCTCTCGGTGCTAAGAACTCTTGGTGGGGCCCTCATGAGGCTGAGTAGCTCCCCTCTCCCTGGGTTTTGCTCCCACACAGCCCTGGCCCACACACGCAGAGCCTTCCGGCCTGGCCTCTTCCTTGGGAGAAGGTGCTCCATGAGCCACTGTCCCCTCCCTCTCACCCCAGGCTGTAGGGTGCCCTGAGTCAGCTGCTGCAACCACCAGACCTTAGAGAACCAAAGGCCATGGTCAGGCCACTCCCGAGTCTGTCCTTTGGCTCCACAGAGCACCTAGCACCCAAGGGAGGGGACGTTGGCCTTGACTTCTGTTCATTTAAATAAACCTTTGACCACCCACACAGAAGAAATGAGGGCATGAGCCAGTCCAATACCCTCGTCAAATGTGAAGACTATGCAGTTATTCTTGTCAAAACAGGTTTAATCTTTGTCCTCTAATACTAGGCTTACCTCCGCAATCAAGAAGTCCACATTTTCCCTGGTAAAAACCTCTAGCTGCTGTCGAAAAAGTTTTTTAATTCTAGCTTCATCCTTGTGGTATTTGTACATTGATGTCTGGCAGATCCCCCCTGCCACCAAAGCATCACCTTTGCCAGCCACTTCCTTGGCGAGGTCACAGGCAGCAGCATTTACATCTTCCCACTGGGGTGAGAGGGCAAGAGTTCAGATGGGGAGCCTGGCATTTGAAAGGTAAAGTGTACCAGATAACCAAGGGGAGCCATGAGCAAGTAGGATGAGTATAAGTCGCCAGTATAAACCACAGTATGAGAAGACCAGCAGAGCAGGGGTTCATCTCCTCAGTTACCATGACCTTCTATTTCCAATATCGTACTCACTACGCTGGATTATAATACCTTTATTTGTTTGCCTCCCACACTTGACTGTGACCCTCTTCAGAACAGGGTCTATGCCTTTGTAGCATCTTTGTATCTAGCAGAGTGAATGGACTACAACAGGCACTCAGTACATGTTGGTTGGTTGAGTGAGTAAATGGGCATTAACACTTACAAGTATTAGTATTTTACATTTGCAGAATATTTCACAATGCTTCCACATCCTTCATCTAACCTATTCTTTGCAGCAGGTCTAAGAACTTAAGCATTGCTGTTACCTCCATTTTGCAGAGAGAAAACCAGTGTTCAATGGAGTTAAGTGTCTTATATAGTCACACAGCCAATAGGTGGCAGTTGGATGTCAAATCCAATTTTTCTTATTTCTAGGTCAATGTTGTGGTTTTTTAAAGGACCTCCTTGTCTCCAAATGGACAATGGGGAAGAGAAGAATGTGAATTGAGAAGACAATGAGAACATCTATGAAGTGCTCTTTCTCTCCAAAAAATAGCACGGAAGGATGGCCATGCCTTTCCAGGGGTTTATTCTCTCCCGGTTATCCCTCCTCTACCTAAAGGGGCAGGAAAACCTCATTTATTTAGTATATATGTTTATATAATAAGGAATCAATAGAAATTTATGCGCATTTTGTAACAAAGTATAGTAAGTTTATAACAAAGTATAGTAAGTAACTGACATCAAGTCAGTTCCATAGCTTCCCACGAAGAGGTTATTTTTGTTACAGGCGATTCCTCCTCTCCCACCATCGCAGTTACCTTGCTTTCCATATTGTCTTCACTGGCAGAAAAGGTGAAAGTCTGCATGACATTTGCTCCGGCTCTCAAGAATTCCATGTGAAGCTGACGAACTACAAAGTAGTTTTTTTTTTTTTTTTTTTTTTAGTTGAAATAAAAAATTAGAGAAGCTACCATTTGCAGCAGCAGCTCACTCACTCCCATCTCTTTCAATCACACCCAAATTCAAACCTGGTACTGATAAAAAGTCACAGATTAAAATCAGTAGAATTCAAGGGCAGGGCGTACAGTTAGAGGAGGCTCATTTTGTCTTGCTGACCTCAGGGCCTCAATGGCCGGTGCAGACACATGCAGAGATTAAGGCCTCTTTGGCCAATCGTCCCTGGGTCTCTCGGTTCAGAGAGGTCTATTCATAGAGCAGTGTGGTGAAGGATGTAGCTGGTCCACTGCAGTCAGTGTCGGCAGCCCGCAAAGTAAAATGAGGAAATTCGCACAGAGAGCAGAATGCACCTGGGTGGCACCCACATCAAACCCATTCAGCAGCAAGCGTTGGGGGACATCAGAAAACAGTCTGAAAGCTGTCCTGGGCCTATCGGAAAGCCATGCCTTTCTCTCTCTTCACTACCTTTGACCCCATTCCTATAGCCTTCATTTAGCTATTTCAATACTTTCTTCCTGGTTTAGCAGAAAGATCATTTAAAACTAAGAACAAGTCTTCTTCGGTCAGATGAAAACGTCCTGCTGAGCACCAGAGGCACAAACTTTGTCCTGTCCTACCACAGAATTCTGGGTGTCTGATGAAACAATAATAGTGGCCACTGGGTCGTATGATATGCTGGGCACTTTGTCTGGGTTAACTCACGAGTTCTCCCAACAAGTCCATGTTGTGCCCCCATGCAACAGAGGAAGAAATGGATTCTTGGAGAGGTCAAGTAACTTGTCCAAGGTCCCATAGCTGGTCAGTGGAAGAACCAAGACAGGACCCTGGGTTTGTCTGATACACTTTGCATATATGAATAAAATCAGACTGTTGAATCAAAAGTTCCATTCTCAGCTTGTACTCTGTTTCACCCATTCATTCTTTGGCTTTATTCTCCCACTTTAATTAAGAGAACAAATACATAAAGATGGGTCAGAATAGAATTAAAGTTCCAATTTGATGTCACAAACCAATCCCATCGCATTTTCTACCTCCAACTAGTTTTTGTTTTTTTTCCAGCCAGGAGTATGATGTAAAATTGCATTTATTTCTTTGCTGGTCACACCCCCAGAACCGGGCTGTCCGTACTCTGTTAAGCTGGTGCCTCCCACTACTCATCCTCACTGTGCACACAGTTATGCCATCGTATGCACATCGTCAGCAGGATGAAGATGAAGCAATAACAGTTTCGCTATTTTAAGGAAACTGAACATCTACCAGGTAAATCTTCATGGGACAAATATTAAGGTATATATTTTAGCACTGCCTATACATGAAGATGCAAGTGTGTGTATGTGTGAGAGAGAGAGAGAGACAGAGACAGAGATAGAGACAGAGAGAGAGACAGAGAGAGGTCATTTTCTTCCATATGCTTCAGCCCACATACTGCCATTGTCTCCACATCTTGGCAATTTTAGCAGGTGAAACAGAGACACTTGTTATAATTTCTTGATCTTCTCTCAATCATATTTAAGCAAAATGTCACTCAGATAAACACTCTCAGGGAACGTGGGCACCGACCTGCATCTGGATGTTCCACTACTGCCTCTGGAGTCCAGAGCCCAGCTTTCACGTAGCCTCTCTTCTCCAGAGTAATGAGAAAGCTGCCATCTCCAATCACAACCTCCCCACCATCCAGACGTTCCAAAATACCCTGAAGAAGAGAGAAAAAAAGTCACCCAAGCTCCCCTCCACTTGTTTTTTTCTAAAAGCAATTTCTAATTTTAGGTAAGGGGGGTATTATGTTCTCAGGGCTCTAGTTCTGTTAACATCATGTCTAGTAGTATTTCAGAAAGATTGAGCATACTTTATTTCTTGGCTAATCCAAGTACCTATTTTGTGTAATCAAAGGACTGTGACTATTTTTTCCTCAATATTTAATGAGTCAAATTAGAGTGAAAATGCTGACTCCATCATAGTTATTTTGGTTTTTCAACACGTTTGTGGTGACACTGCCAGTTGCCTAACTAATGTGCATTCTCTCTCCTCTTATTTGGTAATGTATTCTGTGTTGGGAGACAATGTTCCCATCTTTTAAAAAATTCCCAGGCTCCTTTGCTGCCAGGAATAGACCTGTGACACAGTGCTGGCCAGTGGGACTCAGGGGGAATCAGCAGAGGGTTCCTGGAAAAGTTTTGCTTTCTTGTTATGGACACTCACTCCCTTCTGTCTTGTCTATTTTTCTCCTTCCTTGCTGGAATGTTAATATAATGCCTGGAGGGCTCAGCAGTCATCTTGCAGCCACACCATTGAAAGCTGCAAGCCAAGGCTGGCAAAATCAACTGATAATAGTTTTTTTTTTTTTTTTGGACAGAGTCTCACTCTGTTGCCCTGGCAAGAGTCCCGTGACATCAGCCTAGCTCACCTCAAACTCCTGGGCTCAACCAATCATACTGCCTCAGCCTCCCGAGTAGCTGGGACTACAGGCATGTGCTACCATGCCCGGCTAATTTTTTTTTCTGTATATTTTTAGTTAGCCAATTAATTTCTTTCTATTTTTAGTAGAGACGGGGTCTCGCTCTTGCTCAGGCTGGTTTTGAACCCCTGACCTCGAGCGATCCTCCCGCCTCAGCCTCCCAGAGTGCTAGGATTACAGGCATGAGCTACCGTGCCCGGCCTGATAATAGGTTTCTTAACGACATCCTTGGCTAGCTACAACAGCCATGGGCTGCCCACCTCTAGACCTCCTGTTAGGTGAGAAAAATAAATCTCTTCTTTGTGTCAGTCACTGAACATAATCCTAACAGGCACAATGTTTCATAATCATGCCCTACATCTGTCCAGTGTGTTCCTGTACATGTTATCATTTAGCACTCCCAACAACTCTGTGAGTGAGGCAGGACAGACGGTTTTCATTCCCATGTATAAACGAGGAAACTGAGGCTCAGGAAGGTTGTGACTTGCCCAAGATCACAGAGTTAAGTAAGTAAAAAAGCAGACTGCCTAGCCTTTAAATTCCTAATCTAGTTTCTTTCTAGTTTACCACCTTTCTATTTAGCCCACCCCTAACTTACTTAGGAGGTTGTGTACAGAGCAGTTAGCCATGGATTGAGGTTCCCTTTGTCTAAAACACGCCTTTCCCAGATGCCTGCATGGCTCACCCCCACACCTTCTTCAGCTCTTTCGTCAAGTATCATCTTTTCAGACATGCATTCTTGATCACTGCAACCCTCGACATCCTGCCCCCACTCCACATAGCAATCCTGATCTCTTTTGTATAGATTGCATGAGTTGAAGATACAACCTGTTCTTGAAAATAGGCCAATTCATTTCAGACCTGCCCATAGCTGGACACAAGGCAACATATGGATTGGGGAGAAAAGCCTCAGGTGCCGGTTCTAACCAGCCATAGCAGTTCTGTGAAATCACTAGGAAACCTATCAGTTCCTGAATCCAAGGAAGACAACAAGCAGGGTATATAGAGGCAGCTTATTGGGCTACGTGTTGGGTTTCGGGTGAAGCTAAGCTGCTATAACAAAAGAGTCCTTCCCAAACAGTGGCTTAAATAGAGGTGGTGTATTTTTTTTTTTCATGTAACAGTCCCACAGTGCACAGCCCTTTCATCACAGCACTTTGCCAACCTCCACAGCACATGGACACCTACAGACCGAATCTGGCACACAGCCTGTGTTTGCAAAGACAGTCCTACTGGGACCCTGCCCATTGGTTTGCATAATGTCTGTGGCCACTTTTGCACTACAACAGCAGAGCTGAGTAGTTTACATCCAAGACCTTATGACCTGCAAGGCTGAAAATATTTACTATCTGGCCCTTTACAGAAAGTGTTTGCCAACTCCTGCCCTAGGGTACTGTCCTCTTCAGCATGGTTAGAACTGGATCAGAGTCATGTTCATATTCTGTCTCAAATGGTGGGGAAACACATTATGGTAAAGCTCATTCTAAAGTTTTTAGCTTGGACCTGGAAGTGACCCATATCACTTATACTCACGCTCCCCCTCTGTGAGAATTTAGCCACATGGCTACGCCTCACTGCAAGGGAAGGCAGGAAATGTCGTCAGCAAATGCCCCTGTGTCCAGCCACAACTCTGTTATCATAGAAGGAGGGAGATAGATTTTGGAAAGAAACTGGCTCGCTTTGTTCTAGCGTCTGGCACCTGCTATTTCTCCTCTAATCAATCATGACCCAAAGTCACTGGCCCAAGGTGTCAGGAACAAGCTTCCTAGGACACTGAGCAACAAAACAATTGTGATCACATTTTGGCCACAATACAAGATATATTACTTTCTTCAGTCTTTTTCCAGGAGGCTGGAACACCATAAAGGCAATAAAGAATAAGAGTGAAACTAATTTGATCTTGGTTACAGGAGTCTTTGTTCTTACCTGAGTTATTCCTGGATCTAATAAAAGCAACCAGGAATTCAAGCAGACATGTGAGGATCTTCCCACAGAGCCCCTTTTGTTCTACTTCTCAGGACAGCCCTGTTAACAGTACTAAACCAAACGAGAGACAAAATATGGCTTGAACAATTTCTCAATCTGCATTGAATGACTGACAAGGGAGGGAGTTCATTCTGGCTGTATCCCCTGTGTCCAGTTCAGCTGCAGGAAATACAAGCCACTGCAGCTATTTTGAGCAGAAAGGAGTTTAATATAGAGAAATGGGTGCAAAAAATTTTGCACTGGGCCCCCAGGAATGACTACTGGAAAAACACTATTGAACTGGCCTGCCTGGAACTACTTCCTCTGCTACAGCTAAAAGAAGTCAGTATGGAACTGCTGGCTTCAGGAATATATTATGCAAATGCCATATAGGGCGAAAGAGGCTGCTATAGTTACCGACACTGGAGTGCTGCACTATGGCCATGCTGTTATACTTCTACCTTCCCAGACTCATACAGGTATATCTGATTGGGGGTCCTAATTCTTATCAGAATCCTAGCTGCAAAGGAATCTGGAAATGTGTTTAGCTTTCTTTCTTCTGCAGAACAAGAGAGTACATTACACAGGGTACATTTGGGGCTAAGTACCAGGTCACCATATCTACACCATCTCCTTTATGCTGTCCATGCAGAAGGCAGGCAAATGAAACACAACTGTGTGAGCTGTGTTAATCATAAACACTGTTTTGGCAGAGAGAACCCCTGATTCTGGTTATTTTTCCATTTCTATATCTAAAGCTAAATTTTAGCTGAATATGGCATAAATGTTAATATTTACTATGATTCTCACCTCTCTACTTCCCCCATAAAATGCAATTCATTCTTTTCATTTTGTACTTTTGAAACATAAAAAAAAAACCAACCTTAAACTTTAAGCTTTTATTGAGACCTTCCTACATGCCAGATATAGTTCTAGGCAAGTGGGGTAAACATTGGAATAAGACAAGGTCTCTACCTTCAACAAGCTCAAAGTCTGGCTACTTTGGGGAAGACCAATAGGTCAACAAATAATCACAGCATAATGTGATAATTGCTACTGAGAAATATAGAAAAGAGAATCAGAGGAATAGTCATTCTAGACAAAATGTCTTCTTGAAAATCTGGTATGTTTTAATACACTAACCACATTAAGAATCAAATTTAATATTACACACCAAACAATTCTAGAGGAGAAAAACATTGGCACAGAATTTGGGTGTGATAGGTTAGTCTCTTATCTCCCACATCCAATCTGTCACAGGGTTATGACAAGAGCACCTATTAAACTCTTGTCATATGTCCCCCCATCCTCCCTCCACTGGATTCACTCTAGCTCTACTCTAAACCATCTTCCTTTGCTGCCAGAGCAAAGCCTTGCCCAACCCTCGCTCACTTGTGATTGCCCGTCCTTTGTGACTTCCTTACTTTGCAGATCCCCCATTCCTGCATCCACCTGTCTTGCAGTGTCTGGTTACTTACCTGTCTCCTCAGTTTGATGGTAAGATGCTCAGTTTGATGCCAGATGCCGGATGCCATATCTTATTGGTCTATATCCCTACCACCTCATATTGTACCTAACAAGTAGACCGTTAGTAAACTATGCTAGGAATAAACAGAGAGACAGGACTGTTTTGAAATTGTCAGATACATCATATGCTAGATTTTTTGTCCTAAACAATGAGAAATAATGTCACTCTTCAGCAGAAAATTAGCCGGGGTTTTAAGGAAATTATAGTACATATTTTCGCCTTGTCTTCATCTAAGGAAATACATTTTCATTTGTTATCTGGATGTTTGTCCAACATTTAAAATTTGCCATTTTTCTATACAGCCATCAGCAAAATAAATTACAAAGATTTGAATCCAGAGCATCTTTTAGCTCCTCCTTCACTGCTTTTTTTTTACCACCTCAATTAATTACTACACCAGTATGATCTAAAGACAGCTCTGGAATGACAAAGATTGGAATGCATAAACTAAAGAGCACGTTAAATTAATTTGCAGTACATTTATATTTTCATTCCATCCTCCCTTCAGTTTGGCAGTGAACCTGCCTTGGATCTGATAGTGAGCTCTGGGATGCATTTATGCCTCCCTTTTGCAGATATTAATTCCTAAGACCTCCATGTGTAAGGTCTGGCCTCAGGGCAACTCCATTCATACTCAGAGGAGGAGATCAATTTTACCCTGTGGTGGGAAGTGACCAGAAACCCAATCTGCCTAAAATATCTCCCTCTCTTGCCTAGATTTGCCAATAGGACTGCTCTTTTGGATTAAAGAACTACTTGGAGGTGTTATCTGTGGCAATTAAATGAATTCTTAAAACGTACCTGTTAGTTGAGGTGAGAGTTGAGATTACGGTCCCTTCCTACTAACACCTGAATTTATAGGTACACATTAATATAGATTAGTGTGTGACGATCTCACAGAGTCCCTGGATAAATTGAATAGGGACAGAGGATTTTACAAACCTTTTTTTTTTTTTAATGAAGAGTAAAAATGAACACAGCATTAAAGGAATTTGAGAGAAAGAAGTCAGCACAATGTTCTTTGCTTCTTTTTCTATTGAATTTATTTCCATTAATGTCCACATTTCACTTTAATAATCCGAAAAGCATATCCCCAAACATATTTTTAAAACCCATATTCCACTTCCTATGTAACTATTACCATTATTGTGTCCTTCTTTACAGTGTGTACATATAAATATTTTTTGTACAGTTGGTGTCAGCCTTGTGTAACTTAACATTGCCAAAGCACTTTGCCTGTTCCCATGCTTAATTTTTTAATTGGCTGCCTGATAACCTATAAAGTGGATGGACCTTCATTTATTTAGAAAGTCCCCTATTGTAAGGCATCTTGGTTGTTCCTTTTTAGTATAAATAAATCGAAGGTGCACATTTCCAGGTATATATTCCCCTCGTCCCTGCCTTCTGAATTAGCCGGCTCAGGTGAGTTACTTTGAAGGGTTCCAGCATGTCCTTTGTCCAAGTTGAGGCCCTTCCTAATCTTATTGAGCCACCCCTTCCCTCCACCCCCAGCCGCACTCTCAACGTAGAAATGGGGGGTTGGGGAATAAAGCCAACACCTGGGGACCTTACCGGGAAAGGGGCCTGGAGCCAGGGACCGCCAGGTGAGAGGAAGCGGACCCCTCCCCGCCCCCCCACCTCCACCCGCCTCGGCTCCGGGGTGTCTGCCAGCGACTGGTTTCAGGTCGGCCAGCGACGCGCAGGGCCAGGCTGCTGACTTTCCCAAAACGTGAGGGAAACTCTGAGGAGCTCTGGGGCCCATTAACCCGAGGAGCTGTGAGTGCCGGTCGACTGAGGGAGGAAACTGTGCGCGCGCGGCTGAGTCCCCGCTCCACCCGACAGTAGATCGGCGACCCCGAGCTAGTCGCCTGACTCGCCGAGCCTCAGTTTCCTCACCTGCAAAATGGACGTAATTTATGGAGCTGAGGAGATGATTTGCGTAAAGCACTCCGGTTACAGTGCCAGGCACCGCACAGGGCTCCGTAAATGTCAACCAACTCGCGGTTGGGGAAACCGAGGCTGGGAGCCGTCCAGCGCAGGTGCTTTGTCGAGGCCCCGGGGCTTGGCTAGTGGCCGAGGCGGGAGTTGAACTAGAGTCGCTCAGAGCCCAGGGACCAGGGGCTCCGCGAGGAAGGCAGCAGGGAAGACACTCACCTTCTTGGCCCCCGGGGCTCGGGTTGATGCCATCGTGCCGGCGGTGGCTGTGCCGACCGGGTCCCCGCGCGCGCCCCTGTCCGGAGCCCCGCTTCGCGGGGAGGTCCGACCGCCCCGTCCTCCCCCCACCCCCCACCCCCGCGCCTCAGGCGGTCCCGGCTCGCAGCAGGTGCCTGCGCCCTCGGCTTCCCCTCCGCCTCGTCCTAGCCATGCTCCGCCCGGCGGCGCAGCGGCTGCGGGGCCTGGCGCTGCGGCGCGGCCCGCTGCGGGGCTGCCCCGGGCGCACGAGCTCCGGCGGCGGCCGGGAAGGGTGAGTGGGGCCCGGCCAGCGCGGAGGGGCGGCGGCCGCCGGGTGGGGGCGAGCGGCTGAGGCGGGCTGTCTCTCTGGGGTGAGGAGCTCCGGCCTCCTCCCTCCTCGGAGAAATGGGCCTTGGAATTTCTTCTTGAATTACCTTTTAGTTATAAAGTGAAACGGTATCAAAAGGTTCTTCGCGTAAAGTCTCTCCTGCCGCCACCCCCTTGCCCAGCCAACGACTGTTCATAGTGTCGTCTGCGTGTAGGCAAACGCGGGTGGATATACGCTGTTCCTTGGCTTATGGAAACCTTGGTTTTCACAGTTATCGATATGTCTTGGAGACTGTTCTGTTTCTGCACATATCGATTTGCCTTATTCTTTTTAAAGGGTGCATAGTTTTCCATCTTGTCAATATTCTGCACTGTAAGCAATCTATTCATTAGCATTTGACTTGCTTCCAGGTGTTTATTACTGCAAATAATGTGCATGTGGAAATTCTTATGTACATGTCTTTGGGTACATAGGGCAGACTGTCTGCAGAATCAATTTTTAAAAGGAAAATGGCTATGTGCATTTGAAAGATTCACAGACAGCAACAAATTCTCCAAGTGGGTGACAATCTGCATGCCCCTACCAGTGTGTCTATTTCCCACATCTTTCCTGGTTCCTAGAGTAGCAGGTTTTTTTTTTGTTGTTTGCTTTTGTTTTGATCTTTGCAAACTCTTATAGGTGAAAATGGTATTTCCTTTTGATTTCCTTATGTTTATAGATTATTCTTGGCTGTAAGGTAAGGCTTCTCTTTACTGCATCGCTCAACATTATTATGAGTTGACTCAACTTTTACTTTACACCCTATGACCTGAAATTCTGGGATCAGAGACCTGTTTTGAGTTACATCCATCCATTCTTTAATTCAGCAAGTATTTACTGAGTGTCTGTGATGTGCTAGTCTTGTCCCTGGTGCTGGGAACTGTAGCTACCAAGTCACAATTCCTGCTCCATCAGTTATGTAGAATGTGACCTTACACTTCAGAACTTCAGTTTCCTCATCTATAAAGTAGGGATATGAATATTTGCTTTGCCTAACTCACAGGATTGCTGTGAATATTAAATAAAAGAATGCATGTGAAAGTGCTTTGTAAACTGTAAATCATCACAAAAATATTTTTAATAAAGATACATTTTTATACAATGCAAAACGAAATAGAAATTTAACAAACAAATTGATCTGTTTAAAACTGATAAGACAAATAAAATTTCAGGACTATCCAAACATAAATGTTTTGCTATATTCCTTTTGCAATGTGTAGTTCTATATTGAACAAATCAAAATTCAAATTATTTTATTTCTTTGTATTCTCTCTATACCCAATTCCAAACTATCAAAAGGATTTTTTTTATTTTAGAAAGCACTTGGACAAGCACACAGATAATTAAAAAATTTCCATTTCTAATGTAGAAGATAGGTGACCTGGGTTTTTAGCAGAGTTCCTATTTTACTTTATTTCAAATACAGTTATGACTATCCCTGACTGCATCCAAAAGGAATTTAAGATAGTTATCCTCATAATTAAAAAGACTATACCCAGTCTGGAACATATTATGGCATGCTGGGCAGAAGGAATATTATACATTTAATACAACTTTATTTTATATTGTCAAATGGAATCTTCACAGCCCCATTTTGTAGATGAGGAAATTTTAAGATGTTTGTCTAAGTTTCCCTAAAATAGTTATTTCACTGGACTAGGGACTCAAACCCAGGTTCCTGATTTTTTTTTTCTTTTTTAACTTGACCACTGTCCTAAAAGAAATCATCTTCTTCCTTTTGAACACACTAAAAAACCTTTAACATTATTACTGTTTGTTACCACTATAGTGATTTCAACTAAAATACAAGATGTGCCTAGGCCATTTAAAATTGCATTTCTATGCAGAGTAGTCGAGTCATATGTGCATTATTTTTTTCTTACATGGCACACAAAGAAATGATAAAAGTCATTTAAAAACCAGTTAAACAAAAGTACTAGAACATATTGTGGCACCAGGAAATGAGGAAGTACTCCAAGAATCATGTGGACATGTCAAAAGGATGCAGGAATCAACATAAAGAACCTCCTCTTGGCCAAATCTGAGACAATTTGGCATTAAAATAAATGATGAATAGTAATGGATTGTAACCCACCGAATACAATAAATGCCCATAAGTTCATGTTAATATAAACAACAAACAGAAGTGAAAGGAAAACCCTTACAGTAGACTGCCAGCTGATAAATACAATAGAAATGATGGGATTAGGAAATAAACAATAGATACTAAAACCACTCAGGAAAAGTTTAATAAGGAACAGGATATTTACGTGGCCTCGAAGTAACACTCTACATTATTACTTATACAAAAGAGAGAATAGTAACTTTACAGGATAAATCTGACAGACACTACCTTAAGCAAGCCATCAGACATAACACCAATACTGGGACAAACCAACGTCATATGCTTCCTAATCATATGCACTGGGAAGGACACAGCATCACTTCTGTGATATTTTTGCCAAAACCGCATAACCTAAATCTCATCTGAGGAAACACCGGACAAACTCAGAGTAAAATAGATCCTATAAAGCTGAGGTCCCCAAACTCCTGTCCACAGATTGGTACCTGTCCACGGGCTGTTAGGTACAGGCCACACAGCTCCGCCACTCTCCTTCCCACCCCTGTCCTTAGAAAAATTGTCTTCCATGAAATTTAGGAAGAGGAGCTTGCACAGCAGGAGGGGAGTGGTGGCAAGCGAGGAGGGAAGCTTCATCTGTATTTACAGCTGCTCCTCATTGCTGGCATCACCGCCTGGGCTCAGTCTTTCACTGGTCCCAACCCCCCCGCCCATCTGTGGAACAATTGTCTTCCATGAAACGGGATCCTGGGGCCAAAAATGTTGGGGTTATACTGCTATAAAGTAACTGGCTACTATTCTTAAAAATGTCAAGGTCATGAAACACAAAGGAAGTCTGAGGAACTGTTCTAAATTAAATGGGACTAAAGAGACAGGACCGTGGGTTTGGTTCTTGACTGGAAAAAGTAGCTATGAATACATTATTGGGATAATTGATTACACTTTAATATGGATTATAGATTAGATAATACTATTGTATTGATGTTAAATTTCCTGATTTTGATAACTATGATGTAGTTATGTAAGAGAATGTCTTTTTTCTCAGGAAACATAGCACAGAAATATTAATATTTAGAAGTAAATGGGGTTGATAGCATCAATTTACTCTAAACATTGTACACATATGTAATGTACGTATTATACATATATTTACAGGCATGCACTGCATGACGAGGTTTTGATCAATGGCAGACCGCATATACAACGGTGGTCCCATAAGATTATAATGGAGCTGAAAAATTCCTATTGCCTAGTTTTTACTATACTATACTTTTCATCATTATTTTAGAGTGTACTCCTACTTATTAAAAGAAAAAAAGCTAACTATAAAACCAGCTCAGGTAGGTCCTTCAGGAGGTATTCCGGAAGAAGGTATTTCTATCCTAGAAGATGACAGTGCCATGCCTGTTATTACCCCTGAAGACTTTCCAGGTGGTGGAAGATGGTGATATTGGTGATCCTGACACTGATCCTGTCCATAAGTTCATATTTAATATAAACAACAAACAAACAGAAGTGAAAGGAAAACCCTTACAGTAGACTGCCAGCTGATAAATACAATAGAAATGATGGGATTAGGAAATAAACAATAGATACTAAAACCACTCAGGAAAAGTTTAATAAGGAACAGGATATTTACACGGCCTATGATCCTGTATAGGCCTAGCCTGATGTGTGTGTTTGTGTCTTAGTTTTTAACAAAAAAGTTTAAAAAGCAAAAAAAAAAAAATTGTAATAGAGAAAGGCTTATAGAATAAAGATATAAAGAAAGAAAATAAGCTCTACAGTGTGTTTGTGTTTTAAGCTAAGTGTTATTATAAAAGTCACAGAGTTAAAAGAAATTCAAAAGTTTATAAAGTAAAATGTTAAGGTTAATTTATTATTGAAGAAAAATTTTTTTTGTTAATTTATTGATATTTTAGCCTAAGAATGCAGCATTTTAAAGTCTACAGTACTGTACAGTAATGTCCAGGCCTACACATTCACTCGCCACTCACTCACTGACTCACCTAGAGCAAATTCGAGTCCTGCAAGCTCTATTCTATAGTAAGTACCCTCTACAGGAGTACCATTTTTGCTGCCACATTTTGACTATACATTTTCTATGTTTAGATATGTTTAGATACACAAATACTTACCATTGTATTACAGTTGCCTGTACTGTTATGCATAGTAACTTGCTGTACAGGTTTGTAGCCTAGGACCATATAGCCTGGATGTGTATACATAGTCATGCATTGCTTAACAACAGGGATATGTTCTGAGAAATGCATCATTAGATTTCATTGTTATGCAAACATTTACCTACACAAATCTAGATAGTATAAACTACTTACTATACAGCTAGGCTATATGGTATAGCCATTATAATCTTATAGGACCACCATCACATATGTGGTCTGTTGTTGACTGAAATGTCCTTATGTGGTACGTGACCATATATAAACTATATATAAGCGTGTGTGTGTTTATTTTGAAATATTTGAGAGTAAATTGCAGATATCATTTCCCTTCTAAATATTCTAAGAGTTCATTGTACAATTCTTGTAGCTCTTTTGAAAGTTTGGAATTATATAAAAAGTTCCTCCTCAAATAAGTTAAACCAATAAAGAAAACTATAAGTCTCTGGTCTAGAAAAAATGTTGAAGGCAGATTAGAATTTAGATATTAAGACTCTTTAGCAATGTTATAGTCATAAATATATCACCTCCTTCCAAATAAAGATAATAAAATAGATAATATAATTAGTATCATTGTATCAATCCTAAGGAAAGTTCTATCTGGTGTTTTTTTTTTTTTTTTCAGTTTAAAACTCATCCTCAAAACTATAATTTTTAGACTGTTGTGTTACCTAAGTAAAATATGAGGAATCTGCCCAGAATTCTTAGTAATTCATATTGTGAAATCTCTAAGTTGGAAGTTAACGTAAAAAAAGGATTTGTGACTAGGAAAGATGAAAATAGCAAGAATCAGGTATTAAAAGCCTATCATTCATTAATATATTCAACAGCATTTATTGAGGACCTATTGTTTTTGGTGCTCAACATACAGCAATGAAGCACTAGACTGAAAGACAGCCCAGGGCTCCCTTGGGACCTTATCTCCACACAGCAGCCTCTGTGGCCCTTCAGTGCCCTGGATTCTCCCAGTGCTTTCCTGCCATGTAACTGTCCCCATAACCTGGAATAGCCTTTCTTCCCCTCCCTCCCTCCCTCCCTCCCTCCCTCCCTTCCTTCCTTCCTTCTTTCCTCATCCTTCAGACCTCAAATAAGCCACCTTCCTGCATATATACTCTCATGGAGTCCTTCATTCCTCCGTTATAGCAACTTTTATTATTGTAGTCTCCACATTTGTGTTCTTATCTGACTGCTCTCTCTCCCCTCATCTATGTTGTTCACTTCAGAGAGTAGAGATGATGTTTATTTTGTCTAATCACTGCTCTGTAGTATAACACCCTGTTCATGAAAGGAAATACTCAGGCAGTACTTGATGAATAAGGGAAGAATGGATGAATGAAATGTACGTATACAAAGTATAACCTGTGGTGATAATTAACAACACCACACCTCCACCCCCACCCCCACTAATGAGTGCTGCCTCTGCTGGAATTGAATTCTTTGGGGGATTTATGCAGCAAAATACGATCAATAGAGGCTAGATTATCAAATGTATCCATTCAGCATGCATACTAGAGATGGGCACTGTGCAAGGGCCAGGGATCAGTGACGAATAACACATTGGCTCTGCCTTTAAGAAGCTCATAGTGCAGGTAGGAAGACAGTCATGCAAATAATCGTATTAACCACTGAGTAATATTAATAATTACAATTAGAGAAGCAGGTACACAATTAGAGGAAGGCAAGTGAGGAAGATCATTTTATTCTGTCTGCCTCTCTTCAGCCTGAAGTGTACTGGTGGCAGGTGGTGATCCAAGATTTATAGGTGCTGAACTTCATGATTATGGCTTCTTTATGGAACAAAATGATTATATATGTGTTATTTAGGTAGGAAAAATTATTCTCTAGGTTCTTTGAAAAAGAAAAAGCTGCTTGTTCATTTCTTTAGCTATATTAGTTAGAGCGCACCAGAATCATTATATGGAATGGGGCTCAAATGTCCCCTCCCCCTCCACTAACCAGGTTACCTAAGTCAGGGTTTAGATGCTCCAAATTATAATACGAAATCAGCACCATGCAAATTTCACAGTCACAAGGTGTTAAGTACAGAGAAACGAGTAAGAGGAAGCACATTAGTCAGACCAAAAGTGTAGTTACCATAGCTGAGTAACGTTACTATTTTTTTAAAAAATTTCTTCCAGAGAGGAAAAACCACCTTTATCTACAGAAACAAAATGGAAAGACAGAGCAGAAACAGTGATAATTGGAGGTGGCTGTATTGGCGTGAGTCTGGCCTATCACCTGGCTAAAGCAGGGATGAAAGACGTGGTCCTGCTGGAGAAATCGGAGCTCACAGCTGGATCGACTTGGCACGCAGTAAGAAAAGCACCCCAAAACTGTCCTATGCACGGGATTGTGCACGAGTGTGATCCATTTCCTTCCCATTCGCAACTCCCCAGTTCTTTAGAGCAAGTTCCCTTTCAGTAGGGCTGGAAGTACAACTGCAGTTTAACTGGTATACTTCCAGGCAGGGTACAATATTTATAATGTCCTTATCTTGAACAAATGGTGTCTGGATGCAAACCCTGGCTTTACCATTTTCTACCCATATCCATATGACTTCTAGCAAGTTACCTAAGTTTCCATTTTCTGATGCCTTAATGGGAATATTAATAATATCAACCTAATAGGGTTGTGATGAAGATTGAGTTAATATGTATAAAGTTATTAGACACATGATAAGTGTTTAATAATAAATGCTAGCTTTTGTATCAAAGGATATCATCTGGGTGATCCTGAATATGGGCCCAGGACATTTACCTATACTCCCCTTGCCTGCATTTGGTGGTCCTTTTATTTATTTATGATTTTAATTTTATATGGTGAGACAATAGCCTGGCCTCATGAGGACTTAAATAGGAAGGCTACGAATGTGTGCCACAGCTTCTGTGTTAAATAAAACACAAGACCAAGTCAAGCTTGCATAGTGAATGGTACATATAATGGTTCCAGTGCTGTACTACAATTGGGCTTAACTAGAACGCTGCTCAAGTCAATGAGGTGTTGGGCGCGGCTCTCTTATTGCCAAACTAATTATTTCTGAAGCCGGCCAACGATAGGAGAGGAAGTTTTTATGACTGCTGGTGCAATTTGCTTTTGGGGGAAGATTTGGGCAGCATTTGCTGATGTACATCATGCCTTTTTGTCATTAGCTTTCCTCTGCTGAGAAGAGGGAACCCTGCTTTCAAGGGGCTTTTGGATATTCAGCACTTGCTCAAAGATGGGGTTGAGGGGAGTTTTGCACAAGAAAGATCTCCTGCCTCTGGCTGACTCTGGGGGACAGTGCTGCCCAGACTGAAGCCCCATTGCAGTCTTTGCCCTCATGGAGGTCATATTCTAGTGGGGCAGACAGAAAACACACAACAGTGCTAGAGAGTAATCAGCACCATGAAGTAAAATAGGGGTAAAGGATGTAGAATGATGGGGAAAGAGGAGAAGGAGAAGTTAGGAAGGCTACTTCAAAGAGGTGGTACGTGAGCAGGGGCCCGGATACAGTGAGCAGAAGGGCAGTGAGGCTATCCAGGCAAGAGCATTTAGGTGGAGAGAAATTTAGGCAAGTGGAAACATCCTGTGAGGGAGGGCTTGCACCCCTCACCACTTCTGGAATGTTAAGGAGGGCATACACTTTAATGTTTGAATTACTTATTTACTCGTTCATATGCTGATTGAATGTGGCCTGCATTTTAGAATAGGTTGTAAGATTCCCTGGGATTTTATTTCTTACATGTCCCATAAATAAAAAGCAACATACCCTTAATCTAAGTCCTTTTAAGAAAAATGAGCAGAGTTTTTAAGGTGATAGCTTCTTGTTAAAAGTCAACAATGCAAAATCATTTTCCTTAAGCAAAAGATACCAAAGTGAGTGGGAAAAGGCATTATCTCACCTTATAGACAAGGAATTATGCTGTAATTTACAAAATGAGGCTTCATGCAGTATGAGGTCAAGGTGGAATCAAGCATCAGGAGCTAGAGGTCTTTGGCCTCCTTGGAATAAAAGAAAAGATGAGAGAGTTGTCCTAGGAAGCTGATTCTAGGCTTTGTTTTCTTTTTTTTTTTTTTTTTTTTTTTTTTTGTGGAAGTCAAAGGGGCCTCCCTGTGAGGAGCAGCATGAAGAAATTCCATATGTTACGAATTTTTAACACAGAGAAATTTGTGGAGCAGATAGGAGAATATGGAAGGTTGGGAGCCAGATTTAAGGGGCAGACTATAAAAATCAAGGCAGTCTCACTGAAGTATAATATGTGCTCAATGACAAAAGCGTCTGGAGAGTGGAGGAATCAAGTGCTTGGGGAGGAAGGCACGGCTTGCAAAGTGAATATTCGAAATAGAATCACAAATCCATAAATCCTGAGGTTTTGATATATTTTAACAGGACTGCTTTGTCAGCTCATGACATTGCTAACAATATAGAGCATTTCATGTCGGGTGGAGGGAAAGGGGAGAGGTTGGAGTGAGAAGCAGTTTGGAGCACAGGGTCCCCAGGAGAGGGTGCCCCTGGGGATGGTGCCAAAGCGGGTGTTTCGGAGAGCCAAGGACTAAAGATGCAAGGCAATCCATTTGGGGGTAGGAAGACGATATTAAAACTTTCCATTTGTTTTTATCTACAAATGTAAGGAGGAAATTAAGCTTTACTAATATTTGTAAATGGCCCTTGAATTTGATGTAGGTGACGTATTGTGTACAATTTCAAGGTTGACTAAGTGGGAGGTTAGCAGTCCATGGTGAGAGTATCCTCGTTTTTTCTTTTGTCTTCTGTATATCGTGACGTAGTGCAGATTACATGTTATAGGATATCATCATTGTGATTAGTTTTATAGAAACAGGGCTTTAAACAATATAATTTGTAATGAAAGGGTGAGGGGATGAACTTGCGAGGGTTATACTACACAGAGATTTGTTGGTTATCTCCCAACAATAGTTAAAAGAGTTTTGAAACTTAAAGATAAGTTTTTCTTTTACAAAAAGACAAGTGTCTCACATTTGCTGACCTTTGTGATGATGCAAATGGATGTCAGTCATTTCTACATAGCAGATTATATATTAAAAAAATAGATGCAGTCTTTCTCTTCCAAGTAAAAGTGAGGCTTTCAATAAGGGAGAAATAACTGCCTTTTTCAAAATAGTCCTTTTGGGAAGAGAGCATTTTGAAAATGGATATTTGTAAACGTCGGTATTATTATTAGATTTTCTGCCAAAATAATACGTATCACCTAGAAAAACGCATATATGTGAGAAATAAATTTTTTAACTCACATAACATTTTTCTGAACATTTTTCCAACTGAAGAGTTTCATTGAGCTTTGTCACCATTTATTTAAAATGCAAAAAAAAAAAAAAGCAATATGTAGTCCAGTTAGTTTGTAACAACAACAGATGGACAAGAGAACATGAAAAATTACAGTCAAAATGTCAACAGAAACCTTTGTATAGGTGTTGACTGGGATGGAGGAAGGGGTGTCAGGATGCGGAGAACACAGCCAAGCCTGCCCCTCCCCCACCTGTGTCTGTGTGTCACTGAGGGGTGTCTGCTTCAGCTGTCGCAGCCACTAGAAGCAGTCTCAAAGTAAAACAAACCCAGAACCAGGCCTTTACATTGATGTATTACACCTGTTAATGTAGTATATATGTTTTAATAATGAAATACGCCAATCACATAGCTCTTGCTAAAATGTTACCAATAAGCTTAATATTCAAAAGCTTTTCTACACAATAAATAACTTACAAAAATTAGTTTAAATATTTCACTCATTCTAGGTTTTTGTGTGTTTATGATCTCTATTACTATTTACATATCATGTGTAAAGGAAGAAATATACATATTTTAGTAGTTATGCTCAAAAATGTTCATAGGATATATAAGTGTATGGATAAAGGATTTTTAGCCACTGGAATATAGGATGGGTTGAGATCAGTCACTGGACTCTTTGAGGCAGTTGAGGTTCCTGAAAGAGGGAAAGGATTATTGAAGAGTAAGGAAAAGCTGCACTAGTAGCACCCATCGTGCTATCCTTTATTTAGTATCCATTGATGATTTTTCAACTCCATTATTCTTTTCATACTTATTGTCAGTCTAGTATAAACAGGAACTTTCTCTTCTCCCCTACTGATTTACTTATTTATTTATATCAACAAGGATTCATAAATTCTTCATTTATTCAAAAGGCTATAATTCTTAATGATTACATCTCTGTTTTATCTTCCCTCCTTTATGTTCTCCAACAACTATAATCATTTTCTTTCTTCAAAGCTAAAACCTCTTCCTATTGAAGACTTCTGTGACCCTTCTAGCATCTTCTCTTCCCTTGGTTACCCTAGTTCCCGTGTCTTTCCTGTGCCTTTGATTTAACTGTTTCATGTATAAAAGTTTCATGACCTCAACATAAAAGTTTTATGACCTCATCCATCAGACTATAAAACTTTGAAGGAGAAGATCAATGTTTTCTCCTTCTTCAGACTTCCTCTTTAATATGTTGTTGTTGAAATCATAGAAGAGTAAGACATTGTGCCCTCTTTATATTTAATGTTGCAAGACTAATACTTAAATTAATAGTAGATACCATGCAGATGTTACATTCAAATAATTTAAATAGAAGCACTAATGTAAACCCTAGATTTTGAATACAGATTAAAAGGCAAAAGCCAATTCATAAGAGTATAAAAATTAAATACTTTTTATGCCTGACTGAGAAAATGGAATCCATAGCTTACTTCTGTCTATCCTAGCAGCAAGAAGAAGAGGGTAGTATGAATGTTCAGTAGAAGTAGGTCTACTATGGCAGTAAGGGAGACTAACTTTTCCTTGACCACGAGTTTCTAAAAGAATGAGTTACCTAAACAAGTACACTGGGCCAAATGTCTTGGATAAACTCACCTTTACAAAAGTGAGCCAATATGACTGTTTCAAATGAAGCAAAATTAATTTATAATTTTAGGGATGAGGAAGATGAGGATTATATAGTGTAGACAGATAACTTTCTGGTGGTCTGGCTTGACCCAGGTATAAAACTTAGAAGATCTTGAGGAGTGAATGGCAGTCAGAACCCTAGGCCAGTTTTCTCACTGACAGGAGATATACTGAAGACAAAATCTGGGTCACTAGCAGATACCTGAAGGCCAGGGGTTCTCTTTTACGGAATCAGAAAAGTTTGTTTGCACACTGGATAACAACACATAAAAGGAGAAGGGGATGTTTGACCATGAAGTCAGAGAGTCTGACTTGCAGTTCCATTGTAGTGGAATCCCTTCTCTCCTCCCACATGGAGCTGTGCTGCAGGATGACTGATAAGTCAGACCAGGATTGTTCTCAAAAAAAGAGCTCTGTGTATGCTCAGATGCTTGGACAAGTACCAGGTAGAAGCCCAGGGTTTGGGTTCTTAAAGGATGAATTATAAATTTTAATGGGGTGTTTCTGAGTTCAGAAGGACCAAATGCTCACTACTATCATAGAAGCACTGTATAAATACTCCTAAATAGATTTTATTGTGAACAGGTTGTGTTTTGATGAGCTTTCCAGGATAAATTAGCTGCAAAATGAGGTCTCAGATGCCTAATTAAGAGAACCTACTTCATATCATTGCTTAGAATTCTTTGTCTGGATACTAGAGTGCATCTTCCAGAGTTGGTAAAAAGGGTTTTGGTGTAGCTAATATTTAGATATTTTTCCTGAGAGTAACTAATCAGTATTTACTCAACAAATATTTCTGGAGTACCACCTATGTGCTTATGTAACAGCTTAAGCTTGGACAAAAATCTGTTCACCTAAACACCAGGCTCTGATTAGAAGGAATTTTCTCATTGTTGAATTTTGCAATTTCAGGAAAGGGACAGGAGGGCTGCTTTATTCAAGTGAAAGGTGGGGATGGGCTTTTAAAAAATCCTTTGCTAGTCCCTTCCTCTTAAGGGAACATACACGGTTTGCTGGCTTGAGCCACATTGTATGCCATTCCCCTATACTCTCCTTAATAGTGCATATTCCTAAACCTTCCATCTAAACCATCCCATTTCTGATTCTCTAAACAGCCCTTTCCTGGTAACTCTTAGGGACTGAATGTGTGTGTTTGCTGGCTGGCTCTCACTTTACTTACATGGTTCAAATTGCTTCTTATAACCCGCCATGAGCCTTATGCTCTGGTGTGCTCAAACTGCTGCTGATGCGTTCTCATCCCAAAGAATTGGCTGGTGCTTCTCAGTTTCTTGCCAGCATTAAATTACTTCTTAATGTATAAACTATCAACATTTTAAGAATGTTAACTTTTTTAGTATTTCTTTTCCTCCTTGCTTTTAAGGCAGGTTTAACAACTTACTTTCATCCTGGAATAAACTTGAAGAAAATACATTATGATAGCATCAAACTGTATGAGAAACTGGAAGAAGAAACTGGGCAGGTAAATGCATTTAACTTAAAACCATCTGTTAGGTCATTCTCTCAGAAACATGTATGATTCTGAAGGATTCTGACAAATCATCACGTGTGTAGAGACATCATTGCCATGTGTGTTTAATTTGGTAGAGAAATATGATGAGAGTTTATAGAAAAGAACCTCTAGAGTTTGCTTGAAAATCAATTTAATTTCTTGATTTAATTTCTCTTATCCATGTAATTAACTCTTTTTTATTTTGTAAATGAAGAAAGAATAAAAAAGAACTTTCAAAAACATCTTTAGACAGTTACTATATCTAGAAACTAAGAAATTGGAGCGTTTCGTCAATTGGATTGCAAAGGATCTGAGAGCAGCGTGTGCCAGATTGTCACACGGCTTTGAAAAGTACTTCACTAAAAGCTCCCCCCAATTTTTATTTTTATCTGTTCTCATATTTACTTGTACTCTCAAAATAAAGTGGCAGGCAGAGGGTATTCATAGGCTTCAATCATAAGATTGAAATCTACTCAAATTTGTCATGCTCTCTCCCTTGCTTAAAACCATCAAATGGCTCCCCACAGTCTACAGGATAAAACCAATGGATTAGCATGGCCTTAGGAGCGTGACCTTCATCGGCTGACCTCTACCTGCTGTCCCAACATTTTCTCTTGCCACTCCTCCCTTGGCTTATATGCTTCAGCTATTCCCAATTACATTCTGGAATGTGCTGAGCTCTTTCAAATCACTGTTTTTTTTTGTTTGTGTTGTGTTCTGTTTTCCCTGCTGCCTCCTCTGCCTGAAACTACACTTCACCTGGCCCCATCTTCAGCATTCACCCTCCACCCTTGGAGGGGGGTCCGCCCCTTGGAGAGGCCTTTCTTAACTGTCCCTGCCTGCCTGGTATGCCAAGCTGGGGACACATCTCTTGGTTCTAAAAGCAGTTGGGCACACCCTCTCTCACAACATCTCTGTTGTAATTGTGGCATTACTGGTTGGTTTTCCCTACAGATGATGAGCAACTTGCAGGCAAGGCCTGCATCTTTTCTTTCTGTAAGCCAGGGCCTACCCAAGTGCTTGGCAAACTAAAGGACTTCAGTAAATGTCAAATGAATGTTTAATTGAATTCAGACCTAATCTCATCGTCATGACATTTTGCTTCTTTGTAATCTCTCTGCAAATCCTTTATCTTTCTCTTTTTCACATAATTTTCTTTCTCTGTGTACATTAACACTCATCCTATGTTATTGCAATTATGCATTTAGCTGTCTCTCTTCAACTGTAGAACTGTTCATTTTGACATCTCTGGGCTTGGCATAGAAGGAGGCACTTAAGGTATAATCACTGAATGAATTGTCTTTTTATAAGATGCAAATTTTTATATAGTTATTTTTTTTGCTCATAGTAAATCTCTTTTCTTGTATAGCTCAATTTTCATTGTGCTGGAGAAGAACCAGGTTTGAGTGCCAAATAATGATTTATTTATGGACTTTTATTGGAATTATTGTCACAGGTGGTGGGATTCCATCAGCCAGGTAGTATCAGACTTGCTACAACTCCTGTGAGGGTAGATGAATTTAAATATCAAATGACTCGGACTGGCTGGCATGCAACAGAACAGTATATTATTGAACCTGAAAAAATTCAAGAAATGTTCCCTTTACTCAACATGAATAAGGTATTTGTCTTAAGGGCATTTTTACCATTTGTTGACTTGAATTGAAATTAGAAAAAGTTATTTTATGAAGTTAATTTAAAATAGAAAAATGTTGTACACATATTTTGAATGGCAAAATCAGATGATTAATGCTGGAATTTGTATAAATTACAAGGTGGGCTGTTACATATGCTGAATAAAATATGAAAAATATTATTAGTTTGCCACCTATGACAACTAAGAAAACATTTGTAATACTTTTCTATTACTGCGTCCCCCAGATCTAAGGGTTTCCATACATAAACATTCTGTTTGAGAACTGTAGAGAGAATGATAACTTAATATGATAAATGTCTAGAAAGATTGTGTTATTAAAATTTTTTTAAAATTCAAATTAAGAAGTACCATGCTATATTATTCCACAAATATCACCTAGTTCAAAGCTGTACTTCCCTTACAGACTCTGTGCCAGATATAAATCTAGATTTATACCACGTTTGCTTGAGAGAATCCACTTGACAGGGAATTTTGTGTTTTTTTCTACAGGAGGATAAACTCTTTTGAATAATAATACCAATGACTAACACTTACTATAGTATATATTTATGTACCAGTTACTGTGCTAAATTCTTTACATGCAGAATTTCATTTAACTTCACAACAATATTATGAGGTGTATATTATAACTAAACAGGAAATTGTAGCTTAGACAGGTTACATAGTGAGCCTGAGCTCGTTCATTAGGAAGACGTGGAGCAGAGATCTGAATTCAGGCTTTCTGACTCCATTGCACTGTACATACTGCCCAAGTGTCCCAGGTGGGACTGTTTGGGAAGCAGATGTTTGTTTCCCTGCTGGTTACTACTGCAGTCGTTCTCATCTCCAAGGAAGATTGATTTGGCCTGGGGTCATTTGCTCTTGTGGATTTTCACAGGCAGCTGGCACTCCCCTGTCTGTAGTTTTGTGTGACACCAGTGTGATGGCAGATTGGTGTTGCACTGCATTGCTTGCATGGAAATTCTATTCCCACTATAAGTAAGGATTCACTTTAATCTGTTTATGTGTCAATCCTGGAATGCTTTGCTGGAAGTCCTCACCATCAATAATTTTTCTCAAGGGCCTTAGGCAATGGAAATACGTGTCATGGGCATTCTCTGGATCTTGGGCAGGGGACTGGATCAAACAGATATGGGATCACTGCAACAAGGATATATCTCTGTCAAAGCACCAATGTGACATTTGCAAGCCTTCAGAAATGTGAATTCCATTAAAATCAAAAGTCCTTTGCACTAGACCTATACTAAGTGAAAGGATTAAATTAGTGATCAAAAACTTCCCTCAAAGAAAAGCGTGGGCCCAGATGATTTCACTGGCTAATTCAACCAGACATTTAAAAAATTAATACTAATATTTCACAAACTCTTCCAAAGATAGAAGAAAAGTGAACACTTCTCAACTCATTCTGTGAGGCCAGTATTGCCCTGATACCCTATCCGAATTAGTCAAAGACATCACACACACAAAAAAGAATGACTGGTATCCCTTATGAATATATATGCAAAAATCATCAACAAAATACTAGCAAACTGAATTCAGCAACATATAAAACGGATTATATTACAGAACATGTTCCTAAAAAAAAAATAAAAATAAAAATAAAACGGATTATACAGCATGACCAAGTGGAATATATCCTAGCATTTCAGGGTTAGTTTAACATATAAAATTAATCAATGCAATAATACCACATTAATAGAATAAACCACACAATCATTTCAATAGATGCAGGAAAAATGTTTGACAAAAGCTTCTTGCTTGTATTTTGTGCTCAGTAGATTTTTCTTGAATAGATGAAACCTATCAACTCATTTCATACTCGTTTCTTTCTCCTTTGTTTTCCTAGCCTAGCCTGAAGCCCTAACACAAAATAGGGATTCAAGTCATTGAATCAAGTATAAATTTTCCTGACACCAGATATGTATTTAAAATGTGAATTTGACAGTATTAAGCAATTAAATTTAAATTATAATTGATATATCAGTTAGGATTAGATTTGACTTCAAATGTCAGAAACCATAATAATAATGGTTAAACAAGCTAGAAGTTTATTTCTCTCTCATTTCACAGTCCAGGACTTGAATGGTGGCTCTTTTTCATGAAGACTTCAGGGGCTCATTCACTTTCCAGATCAAGAAACACTTTTAAAGTCCAGTTTTATTAAATATTTGCTAGCAGAATATATTTAGTCTGAGTAATAAATGTATATTCATTTGAATATTGACTCTATTATGGTTGATTTAGATTTTAGCTGGATTGTATAACCCTGGAGATGGTCACATTGATCCTTATTCTCTAACTATGGCCCTGGCTGCTGGGGCTAGGAAATATGGTGCCCTTTTAAAATATCCTGCACCAGTGACTTCTCTGAAATTCAGGTCAGATGGAACATGGGACATTGAAACACCACAGGGATCTATGAGAGCAAATAGAATTGTGAATGCTGCAGGTAAGCATCTTATCTTTCTTTTAAAAAAATCTGTTTTTTTAAGTGGCAAAGAAATAAAATAGCCATAAAGTAATATTTTATACTATGGACATTGGTATGGAGCACTGTGGTGCTCCCAAGTTAAACATTTTGTCTGTTCCTAAGCTACAAAACCCTCCTTCCACCATTTCACTCTTGAGATGCTACTCTGTCCTTGGTTATCCACAAAAAGTTGATATTTTTCTCCATTCTCTGTTTTCTTTTGCTCCAGATTATGTTTTATTAAATTCTACTTCTTTTTTCTTCCTGTTTTCACTGTTTATTTATACTAATAACCAAATTCTGGTGTTCAAATTCATGAGCATTCTCTTTGTTTTCAATCTGCTTATTTAGGGCAGATTTGATCACTTGTACTATCTTATCCATTTCTGAATACTTTTGACGTTAATCATAAAACTCTTAACCCTTTTCCTTTGAGAACATTATTAAACATATTCCATAATCTTCTCTTTAGATTGTTCTGTTACAGTTTAGACTCACAGAGTAATGAAGCCAAAAGGGATATTTGGGATAATCTAACAACACATTCATTTTCCATTTGTAGAGGGCAAGGTCCAGAAGGGTCATGTTACCTGGCCAAGCAACACAGCTAATTTTGTCAGAGATAAGACTGGCATCTGGGTCTTTTGATTCTTGAGTTAATATACTTTCTAACAGATTGATCTTATGTGAAGTCATTTTAAACTATCAGATGTGCAAAAATAAATTTTAGTGAAAATGCTTTTGAAGCCTAAATAGGGCTAATAGTTTGTATTTTCCTATAATTCATAAGGGTTCCTTTAGAACCTAAAATAAGCATGAGGCAGTGACTGATTTTCTTTGAGTTATTGCTTAAATTACTAATGAAAACAATCTTTATTATTTGATATGCCATAAGGACATGCCAGAAACACCTTACCCTTATGATTCTTTCCTCTAAATTATAACTTCTGATCGATTTGTTTTGTTTTGTTTTGAGACAGAGTCTCACTCTGTTGCCTGGGCTACAATGCCATATAGTCAGCCTAGCTCATTGCTATGAGCTCAAACTCCTGGGCTCAAGGGATCCTCCTGCCTCAGCCTCCCAAGTAGCTGGGGTTACAGGCATGCGCCACCATGCCCGGCTAATTTTTTTTTTATATGTATATTTTTTAGTTGTCCAGCTAATTTATTTCTATTTTGTTGTTGTTGTTGTTGTTAGTGGAGACGGGGTCTTGCTCTTTCTCAGGCTGGTCTCAAACTCCTGAGCTCAAAGGATCCACCCACCTCGGTCTCCCAGAGCGCTAGGATTACAAGTGTGAGCCACCGCACCTGGCCTGATATTATTTTTTAACAAAGCATTTTTAGTGGTCCTAGAAAAAGTCATGTCTTCAATACGTGAATCTAAGTTAGTATTTCTGAGTCTCTCTAATCATGCCTCCCATTTGAAAAACATAAAAATCCCATGGTTTCTTTAATAGAATTTGAAATTAACAATAATATAAAATGACTTGCCTAAAAAATAAGAGCAATGGCATAAAATAACATTGCTTTGTTCTGAACCTCACTTGCCTGTCCAATCTCCATCTGATACTCTCCTCTTTTCTGTCTTTGGGAACCTCTGGTCTAAATTCTGTTAGAAGATTTAAGGCAATGGAATTGTTCATGCTTTTTTTCCAAGTAGCAAGGATTCTTTGTAATCTTACAACTTTTTTTCTAGTCTCATGAATTCAGCCTCTCAAATATTTGATTGTTTTCACAGTGATAGCATATGCTAAATGAACATACTCAGACTCCCACATCCGGTTGGTTCCTGCGGCAGACATTGCTAATCAATCACTGCACTTATTTCAGATGAGCTTGGACAAAGCCCCACCCCTTTTCTCAACACAGTACATTAGGCAGTCCCACATTCCTAGTTGATGTTTTGAAAAATAACATAGAATACCTTAATTTAGCACATTTATCCATTGTCTTCCTAGAATGGATAAACTTAATTACATAATAAATTGCCATTATTATAATACATTTTTTCTAAACCACACACTTTAACAAATAAGGAATTAGTGAGAAGGAAGATAGAATGATCTCTAGAGAGATCTGACCTAAACCCAGCACAGTGGTTCCCTATGGAAGTTTTCTGTGCAGCTGTGAAATCTTGTGGTGTGATGGGGTTGGGGAGAGCAATGGCAGAAGGTCCTTGAGAACCGCTGTCTCCTGCTGGCCTGGGAAAGCATATCCCTGGAATTAGGTTGACAGTGTGGCTCTGTGTGGAGTGGTGATGCCTCCCCGTGTTCTTTGTTCCTGGTGCGTTTTGCCCAGCAACATCCCCTCCCTTGCCCTGGTAACTCCAGGCAGCTCTTTGCTGAAAGTTGTGCAAACTATCCTGTCTCAATTTTCAATTCTTTCTCTCATTCAGATCAGATCTCTGCCCCATAATCTCCTTTCCCCCCCTTTTTCTCCTCCATCATTTTTCTTCCATTGGGCAAAAGTTACTGGAGAAACTCTAACTGATTACATATTTGTCATCCACAGGTGGTATGGAGTAGGGTGTGTGTGTGTGTGTGTGTGTGTGTGTTTTCAAAAACACTTTATTTAAAAGATAGAAGCTCTCCAAAGGGTGAGCCTCAGTAGCTGGAGACAAAGGTTTGTATATTTCTGCTTCTAGAATTGAAACTAACAAAGATCAATTTTATGAATAAAAGCAACCATCTGCAGAAGGCATCATGCTGAAATGGTCTGAGAATGTGTGGCTGGTAGAATGTTTCCCAGAGTTACTCAATGAGACCAGGAAGTCTCACAAATTTAGGCAACCCCCTCGGGCCAGCTCTGAAATCTGATTAAAGTAACCAGAAAAAGCACTTGGAAATATAACCGAAATGTAAATGTTTCTGGGTCTTCAGGATATCCATAAAAAGTCTAACAGAGTCTAACAGAGAGTTGAATGATGGTTACCAAAGATTCTGCAGGGGGGATAAAATGGGGATGGTTAATGTGTGCAAAAATATAGTCCCCAGCTACTGAGGCTCACCCTTTGGAGAGCTCTATCTTTTAAATAAAGTGTTTTTGAAAAAAAAAACCACACACACACACCCTACTCCATACCACCTGTGGATGACAAATATGTAATCAGTTAGAGTTTCTCCAGTAACTTTTGCTCAATGGAAGAAAATGATGGAGGAGAAAAGGGGGAAAAC